AATCTCCCTGCCGGACTCTATTGTAAATTACTATTTTCGTATTTAGAAGATTTTTGATCTTTATTGATATTATTTTTATTACATTTTTAATATTTGTTACTCGGTTTTCATGAAAACCAATTGTAAAATTTATTGAAATTATCCGAGTATAAATAAAGTATAAATAAAGTATCATTTATTCTCTCTCTTCAGCTACGATGTCAGATCTAGTGATGTTTTAACTTCTTTAGGCTGGAAAAGCTTACAAAGAAGAAGAAAGGAGCATAAAGCAATAATGATGTTTAAGACTTTAAATGCACTTGCACCAAAATCTGTAAGGGAACTCTTTTATTTTCAAGAAAATACCTACGTGGTAGAGAGAAGTGCTCAAAGTTACCGAAACCCAGCACTGAGTTTTTAAAAAGAGCTCTCTCTTATGACGGTGCAAAAGTGTGGAACTCGTTACATTACAACAGTTTACATTTCTATAACTCGATTYCTCAGTCAGCAAAATAAATATTAAATAATCAAGAGTAAATATTGATAATTTCCTTGAAAGCTTTACGGAATTCTTCGAGTCTCGCCACATATATAACAGGATTCAAGGCAGAGTTGACTAAGGCAAATGGAATTGTTGTGAGCCATATCTGTTCGAGCTTTTCAGCTTTGCATTCATTGTGCCTTGATACCACGAAGTGAGCTACGCTTATGATCAAGTTGGGAAGCCAACATACGACAAATGTGCCAATCACTATGGCTATAGTCTTTGCAGCTTTGTTTTGACGTTTGACGTTTGCTCTTCTGAATTGTTTTGTCGCTTGCACGCTTGGTGATGCAGTATATTTTTGGTCTGAAATTATCCTTTCCTGATGCCAACAAAACTTGCAATTAGCTATAGCAAGAGTTTTGACAGCTTTGCTCTCGCGGTTTGCATCTTGACTTTGTTCCCCGGATTGATCACAATCTGTCGTATAGACTTTAGAACCTTTGCTCTGACGGTTCATTGCATCTTGACTTGGTTTCGCGGTTGGATCACATTCTGTCGCATCATCTTGACTTTGTTCCCCGGATTGATCACAATCTGTCGTATGGACTTTAGAACCTTTGCTCTGACGGTTCATTGCATCTTGACTTGGTTTCGCGGTTGGATCACATTCTGCCGCAAAGACATTCAGTGAAACTGCTCTTCGTTGGTCTGAAATTTTCATTGCTTGATGCCTAGCAGCATTAAACATTTTGGTGTAGTAATAGGCTATTAAGATAAGTGGTATGACAAACGATATAAAAACTGATACTAAATAGATCAAAGGACGAAACACATATCCTGTGACAATGAAACTACAACATCCTATAGCGATTGAAGTAGACCAAATGGCCGCCATTGCAAAGTACAGCTTCTTGGAACTCATAGATGATGCGTATGACAAGGAAGYTGTAATGGCTAGATATCTGTCGTAGGTTACTGCACAGAGACTGAAAGTTGAAGCACTTAGTGTTTGAAAAATAAGGAAATCTAAAAACATCTCAAAATGTTCGTTTTTGAGAAGAAACGGCCAAGACAAGGCACTGGAAACGTAGACAGGCGTTGTTATTAAAGAAACGGAAAAGTCAGCTGCAACTAACGAACCGATGAAGAAGAACTCTTTTGAACGCAAAGAAGGCCTACGATAAATTGACAGAAGAGCAAGCCCGTTGCCAATCATCGCGATGAGCCCAATAAAAATGGCGAAAGTCGAGATAACGGTCAAAACATCAGAGGAAAGAAAAAAGGTTTTCTCCCACTGGCATGGATGTGCACTCGTCATGGTGAAACAACTTGTACTGCCTTCAGAACAGCCGCGTTTGGCTATAAAAGAGAGCTCAAGAGCGCTGATTTACGCCACAGTTTGAACCGGATGGTGGTCTTATAGATTTAACAAGATTTTCTAGGTAGAAATTTTATTATATATTTGCCTATTGATTGAAATCGGACCGGAAGCTTTATTTGCATATATTGGTGTTTTTTACCTTGCACGCCCGTAATAAAACGAATTGAAATATATCGACCAAGTTTGAATAACTATTGTTCTGGACTGACTAGTGTGTCATTCTGTTTTTATTTAAGTGTTTTTACATATAAGAGAGGCTAGGAGGCTAGTTTGTCTAAAACAATAGTTATTCAAATTGACCGTTTTCTCAAGGTTGCGTGCGCATCCATATTTAAGGAAGCTGACGGGCCACGATACCAGAACACGAGTATTGCTATGAATTTTTTTTACGATAATAATTTATAACATCTTAAACATTTTTCTCATTAGCATCCATTGTTAACGGCACCACAATAGCCGCCATGTTTTTGTCTTTT